TAGTCAACTTGTAAGTCCCCGTGGGTAGCGGAGGAGGTACTTTCGGTCTTATCCTGGAGGGATGACAGGAGAAGGGTAAGGGACGTTGGTCCCTCAAAATTGATCCCTTTCATGTTCTCTGCAGGCACGGTTACCACAGCAGCCCCAGTGACCAGCTCTGCACCTGCATCCTGTTTCTTCGACCCCACGTAAAGGAAACCATTTTATCCCAGCATTGTGACACTGGGTTTTTTGTTGACCATTTTGTCTTGGGGCCTTAGAAAGAGTAAACTGAGTGGGAGAAGAGAGCAGAAACAGTGAAAGAACTCAGTGTTTGATCTTAGGAGTAGAGTTCTGCTGGTGTTTTGTTTGCAGGGGAGGGAGGTTGAGCATGTCTCACAACGTAGCCCAGGCTGCCCTCCGACTTGCCACAATCTTCCTGCCTCAGCTTCCTAAGTGCTGGCTTATAAGCAGTATGAACTCAGCATTGTCCAAGATTTCAGAGATCATGAGTCCCCTGAACTTACAAAGTGTTGAGATGTAGAGAATTGGGAGAGTCCCAAATGTCTCTGGAACCCAAAAGCAAACTGTCTCTTCCCAAGCAGTGGGTGGGAGCAAGTGCGTCAGCCTATGTGAGAGCCCGAGTAAGAAAGTTAAGCATGGATTCCAGGAAAGGCTCCAAGAGGTCCTTGCCAGCTGTTCGTTCATCTACTCCCTTTCTTTGCCGAAACAGAAAGGAGCATTTAATCTTGGCCTTTTTTGCCGGGGTTCTGCTGACAGTGCTTCTCGTGGCCCTTATCTTCGTCGTCGTCAAGAGCTGCAGAAAAAGTGAGTGGTCTCTGTTGGACGTCTCTTGCTGTCACTGAGAGCATGAGCAATGAGTAAAGGGGAAGTGGAGAGGTGACCGGCTCAGCCCACACTCTGCACAGATCCACCGCGAGGCCCTTTCCTTCCCTTCCTTGCTGCTCTCCCCCTATACCCCTACCTACTAACCTTCACCCAAAGTTGAGGGGAGAGGCTCCCCACTCCTCCAGACCCCATGGTGAGAGGACAACCCTCTTCTTCCTGCATCTGCTGCAGGTTACTCCAGGGCCCAGGCCCAGGACCCCCTCTCAGAGCCTCCCATTAAGGTAAGACCATGCTGATGTTTTGGGCCTGCAAGAGGGGAATTGAGTGTGATAAGGGTGGCATGAAAGTTATTTGGGGGGAGTTGGTTTATTCTGTGTCCTTCACATACTGGGTTACAGGCTGGAATGTTGGTGTCACTTCCTGGACTCTGGGCAAGTGACTCTTATGAGTTCTTCTGCTCTCTTTGGGTCCCACTTATCAAAGCTTTCAGGATGCTTTTAGAGAGACACCTTTCACTGCAAACTAAATTCACTATTTCTCCTTTCGCCTCAGAAGCTTTCATCTGTATCAAAGGAGTCACTCACCTATGCCAGCATGACTTTCAAGCCCTCAGAAGAAAACAGCAATGACTTGACTGGAAACCACTCTGCAGGCTTGGACCCCACTGTCTATGCTCAGATTAAAGTGGCAGGCCCACACCTGCCTCTGCAATGAGGCAGACTGCAGGTCCTCAGCTCGGCTCCAGCTACATGTTGCTTTCTGCCTTTGTCTTGTATGTGTGTTTTTGTTGTTTCCTACCAGCTTAGGAGCACAGCCTATGCACAACTGCAGTCAGAGCTGTTGAGGCTTGATCTGGAGCGCTGTCATCAGTCTTCAAAATCAGTGGTGCCGGGTGGTGCCGCACGCCTTTGATCCCAGCACTCGGGGAGATCTCTGTGAGTTCGAGGCCAGCCTGGGCTACAGAGCTAGATCCAGGACAGGCACCAAAACTAGACAGAGAAACCCTGTCTCAAAAAACAAAAACAAAAACAAAAAACCAAAACCAAACAAACAAACAAATCAGTGGTTAGTTGCTTTCCCCACCAGAGAGGAGGCCTTTATTCTGACTGGCAGCGGCAGCTCCTTAGGCGACTCCCCCGAACTTCCCAAAGGGGGACAGAGTTCAAGATAAAAGAGACCCACTGATAACCATGGCGGAGCCAACCCTAACGGACAGTCTAAGATTTTCATGAGGGCAGACCCTCCTCCGGTGTTGGTGCCTTCCTCATGGGTTCTCACTCTGTCCCAGCATCTTCTCCAGGAGTCAAGATCAGCGTCCTAAGCCAACACAGAGTCCATATCGTATAAAACACTAGTCAAATGTGGGCTTCTGTCTCCTCTGTGTGGCATTAGAGATGTGTGTGACAACCTTGGTTGAGAGCCAAAGGTAAAGATTAAACATGTTAATTTACCTCCAAAACAAAGGGACAGTTATAGAGACTGCCCCACTAAAAATATCAGGAAGATTCTTTTTAATTAGGCAAGCATACTCTAAAATGTAAGTACTAAACAAGAAAAAATTAGAAAATAAATATGAGGGACGGTGAGGTAGTTAAGGACATTTGCCGTCAAACCTGACAACTTGAATTCAATCCCTGGGATTTACATGGTGGACAGTGAGGACTGGGTCCTAGTTGTTATCTAACCTTCACATTTACTCTCTCTGTGTGTACGGACCTGCACACAAATGCACATGCACAAAATAAACATGAACTTGGCTGCTGTGACAGCATTCTTTAGACCTGTGCGAGCCCAAGCATGGAGAGGTGAGTTGGGCACACAATCCTACCCCTGGCTGAAGAACTATTGGCAATTATCAGCTGCTGGGAAACAAATAGTTTTCTTTAAGAGTATATAGTCCCTGGTAAGTTGGCCATGTAGAAACTCAATACATGGCCACTGGGCAAGACTGGGACTGGCCAGAAGCAGAAGGAGAGCATTTTTTTGGTGTTCAAGACTCAAAAGGAGAAAGGCTACAAGGAAGTATGCAGGCATGATATTCATAACCTTACCCTTTCCCTCAGGCTTTGAGGGTCTGGGAGTTCCCTCCCTATAGAAAAGAGTCAGGACAGAGCCTGAACTATGCTCATCAAACGCTTTGCAGGAGCCACAATATAATCTGACAAGATACATACAGAATCTGGTCAACACCCAATCTCCATTCCAACCCTGTTCAAACTGGAGGACCACTTGAGGATTCTGAGACTGAGGCTGGGCCTACACCCCATCAAAAGGGACCATGGCATATTAAACTGTGAGCTTCTGAAGCTGGGGGAATGCCTCAATCAGTAAAGGGCTTGCCTTGCAGGAACAAGAACCTGACTTTGATCCCGTGAACTCATATAAAAATGTGGGGCATGGTAATGATAGGGCACGCTTATCATCCTAGCCCTGGAGAGGTAAAGACTGGAACTGGAGTATCCCTGGGTCTCACTGTTCAGCTAGCCTAGCTTCATCAGCAAGCTCCAGGCCAAGAGGCCCTGCTTCATACAAGGTGGGCAGCTCTGGAGGAATGACATCTGAGGTTATCCTCCAGCCTCCACATGTACAAGCATATGCATGAAACACCTGAGTGTACACTTCCCCCACAGAATACCAGGGTTCATAGGAGGGCAGCAGAGGCCATGATGAACAGCAGGAAGGACGCCATATGGGGAGAGGGTTGTGGGGTGCAGCAGAACACACGGGGTAGTAGTGATGCTTCACCAACAATGATGTAACTATTTGCTCCCATGGATGATGGCGCCTCATCCTTGCCTCGTGTTTCCTGATATGAAAGCATTTGTCACCACTCATCCCTTGGTTGCTCATTGGTCAGAAGCAGCACCCACTTACTCTGGTCATAGGTTCCCATTGAGAATGTGTTCTGGGGGCGGGGCACAGTCTTTTCACCAAGAGACTATGAGAACCACAGACTCAGTCTGTCTCCTAGTTTTGGATAAAACGGTATTAAATGCCACTTCAGAAATGTATTGGAATGTTATCCTTTTTAGGAACAGTTCACGAAATACTTTGCCAGTGATAGCCTAGGAGAAGTCAGTCATACTCTTTCAACACTATTTATTGGCTGATAATAAAATACAAGTCATTTCCCCTTGTCCCAGATTCTGTACCTCTTCTTCACTTCAGCTAATCTAATGCACAAGAGCTAAGGTCTGGAGATATTATTCGATGGCAGCCTTGCTTGGCGTGGTCTGTCTTAGCTCTTCAGGCCACCACTGTTGTCACCTTGCCACAAAAGATTGCTTCGAGGTCAGAGAGTCCCTTAGAAATCCTGAAAGGTCAAAATCAGTCTCTGAGATGTAGGCTGGTTGTCGTGGAGATTTAACTGTAACGACATCACTTTATTTGGGAACGAAATAGGAAAGAAATCTTCAGTCATGTGTGTTCAGTTGGAGCCGTTTCCTTGAGTCAAGACATGTGGAAAGAACTTCAAATCGTTGCCTACTTTGTTGGGAAATAGAAAAGGAAAACAGTTAGGGGTTCTTGTCAACGTGTTTGTCAGCAAAAAGCCACAAACTGCACTTTTCTGAGCCTATTTTCCTCTCTTCTAAATCAAAGATTATATTCTCACACTGCCCAGGAATTTTTTTCAAACAAACCTAAGCATCCCCAACCTCCACAGTTCCCAAAGCTTCCAGATGGAAAAAGACAAGGAATGCTGTAGGAGCCATTCCTGGCACTCTGGGCTCCCTGGGAACAAAACACCAAGTTTGAATTATCTATCTGTCATCTATTATCTATCTATCTATCTATCTATCTATCTATCTATCTATCTATCTATCTATCTATCTTCTCTCTCTCCCTCTCCTCTGTGCGTGCATGCGTGCATGTGTGTGTGTATGTCTGTTTCTCTCTGTCTCTGTATCTCTCTGTCTCTGTATCTGTCTCCTTTCTTTCTTTCTCTCTCTGTATGCAGGGTGGGGAGCGGGGAGGATACACAAGCGCTGTGTATACCACAGTGCGCAAGTGGAAGTCAGAGGACAACTTGTAATGGTTGGTTCTCTTTCTGCTATGTGAGTTCTGGGGATTAAACATGGGTCATCAGGATTGGTGGCAAGAACCTTTACCTGCTGAACCATCTTACCAGCCCTGAAAACAAACGTTAGAAAGCACTAACGTTTGTTTTATGGGCTGGAATTTTATGTCATCCCTGCAAGACTTGTCAGTCAGCTCTAGGCAAGCTGGGTACCTGGGGTTTGTCCTTCTCTTGCTAAGTTTTTATGGCATAAATGCATCCTGATTGCAGGGCCAAGAATAATAAAACTAGAAGGGACTTTAGTTTAGGCTGCTAAGTTTTCCCAAGTATGAGGGAACAGGCCATGGCTAAAACAGGTTGCTGGCTTCTTGCTGAAGAGAACAGCATTGGATTCTATTGTCTCATCTTTTACAGCATCATGTCACTGTTGGGGAGTATTACTTTAAGGTGTTACTTTTGTTTATGTTGCATTTGTTTAACTCCGTGAAACTGTGTTACTGTGCCTGTCTAAAACACATGATGATCTAATAAAGAGCTGAATGGTCAATATCAAGGCAGGAGAGAGGATAGGCAGGGCTGGCAGGCTAGCAGGCAGAGAGAATATATAGGAGAAATCAGGGAGGAAAAGAAGTAGCCAGAGAAGGAGGAGGACTCCAGGGGCCAGCCACCCAGAGGCAAAAGGTAGACTCGACAATTTAAGTTAACTAAAGCTGGCAAGAAACAAGCCAAGCTAAGGCCAGGCATTCATAATTAAGAATAAGCCTCCACCTGTGATTCATTTGGGAGCTGGGTGGTGGGTCCCTCAAAAGAGCAAAAACAAACAACATGTCACCTTTGCCTATTCTACTTGACAAGCTTACATTTGTTTATGTGTGGATGCTTGTACTCTTCCACCTCACCACACCACTTTATTTTTGAGACAGAGTCTCACTCTGTAGTCTAGGCATTTCTAGAACTCATTATGTAGTCCAAGCTGGCCTTGAACTCGAGCTCCTTCTGCCTGGGCTTCTGGGTGCACCACAGCTGCCTTGCTATTTTCATGTTTCACATCATAAGCTTCATGAAGACAGGTGCTATCTATTTTTGCTTGTCTTTGTAACCTCATCAACTAGCATGTTCCTAGTTTGCAAAATGAAGGATGCATAGGTGAGTGGGTGGATGGGTAGGTGGGACATGAGTGGGTGGATGGATAGAAAACTCAGAAGAGTATAAGAACAGGGAGGAAAATGTAGAAAGAAAACAAAAACTGGCTTGGGAAAAAATGTTGCCCAGGGTCATATCTTAAAGAAGTGATGATAAGTTCCTGGAAAAAAAAATACAAACTACGATTGTATGCTAGAGGGAGTAGAACTAGACAAGTCCTGAGAGGTGTTGCCCTGTCCATATCCCTCGCCTCCACTGTTCCCAAAGCTTCTAGATGGCAAAAGGCAAAAACGCTGTGGGAGCTGCTCCTTTACCATCTTAGAGAGCATGCTGTGCATCTGCATGGGACCCAAACTGCACAGGTGCAGCCTGAGACCTTGTGGCCTTCTCTCCACATTTCAGCTCCTGCTGGCACTGACTCCTTGTGTGTCACTAACAGGTCTTTCATCATTAGGCATTTGGTGATAATGTAGGGTTTCTGTTCTGAGGCTTTTGTTTGTTCATCTTAATCATTATTTCTCTGAAATGTTGTTTTTCTATGTTTCCAAACCCAGGCAGGGTGACTGTAATCCATTTTGTAATTATGGCTACAGTCTCTTCATTGCCCAAGGTGTTTCCATGGTTTTTGATTATACAAAAGCCAACAGCATCGCCCTGACCAAACAGAGGTGCTCACGGTGTTCTTTCAGTTCTGCAAATGCTTCAGAACTTAGCAGAACCACCATATGGTGACCTAGAGAAATTTCCAGATGGTAGGATCCACTTGTGTCACAGGGAAAGACGGACGATCACACAGTTCCCTCTCTATGAATGGGGAGACCTAAAGACAGGGTTCTAATGGGGCCCAGGACTCAGTACTGAAGAGTTAAGGAGGGAACTTACCAAGGGTATGGAGACCACAGAGGGAGCTTGGCTTGGCTGGGAGCTTCTAGTGATGCTTTTACCAGTAACTACCCAAGGAAAAACAAAGACACAAAGCTAAGGACTGAAGTCCCTGGGCCCACCTGTCCCACACAGACCCCTTGGCAAGGAGAACTTTTTACACCTGCTGGTGGGGTGAGTTACAGAAGTCCCGTCATTAGACAAGAGGCTTGGCCTCATTCCTACAGGCGAACAAAATGTTTCAAACAAAGATTGAGGCTATTAGGCTATTGCCCAAAGCTTGTGTGCTGGGGAGGCAAGTAGCTCCACGGATATGGAACCTGCAGTGTGCTTATCTCTGGCTTCCCTCTTCCTCGCCTGCATCTGTAGCTGAAGTTATCCTGTTCCTGCCCGGGTTCCTGTGGCCCTCAGACCCAAGCAAACACACAGAGACTTATATTATTTATAAACTGTATCGCCTAATGGCTCAGGCTTCTTGCTAGCTGTTCTTATATCTTAAATTAACCCATTTCTATTAATCTATATCTTGCCACGTGGCTTGTGGCTTACCAGTACTTTACATCCTGCTCCTCATGTCAGCGGCTGGCAGCATCTCTCTGCTCAGCCTTCCACTTCCCAGACTTTTCCTCTCTCTTTGTCCTGCCTATACTTCCTGCTGGCTACTGGCCAATCCGAGTTTTATTTATCTATCAATCAATCATCCACAGCACGCACCTACTTCCACTTAAGACTACAATGTTCCTTCTATTTCCTCTCACGATGCCTTTGTAACTATGAGGGGATTATACCCTCCTCAGCCTATGGGCTGGCTAGCTGCCTTGGTACCTAAGTGACTAGGCATTAAGAGGAGGGTCACATTCATTCATGTGAAAGATACTCCTTGAGCTCTATACTTTCTGATTCCCTCTCCAAGTCTAATTCCCTCCATCCCAGGTTACTTACCTCCTCTATTCCTTTGGCTTCTCATTTCCCTAGATAAATGACTGACTATAAAGATGATCCACAAACCAGTAATCAGTATGCAAATGATCAGAATGGACATTCTGGAAGAAATCACATCAGATATCAGGTCCCTTGGAAGGAAACCTCTTTGGTTTTCTTCTCACACAGTCACTCCCATCCCAGCCCCAGGAGCTCCTGGCAACCACATTCCTTAAGAAGAACTCTGAAGAGTAATGGGCACCTAACCAAGCTGGACCAGTAAGCTCTGCCTCAGAAATAAGATGGGGTCTAGGAGTGGAAAACTACAGTCTTCTGTCATTCCTTTGAACGGGGGAGAAATAAAGTGAGCAACTGTAAGTGAGTGTCACCTGCAGTGTCAAAAGGAAAAAGAGGGAGGGAGAGAGGAAGAGGAGAGGAGAGGGAAAGAGAGAGAGAGAAGAAATACAAGCTGGGGGATATAGCTCAATTGGTAGAGGGCTTGTGAACTGAGTGGGGCAGCACACGTCTGTAATCCCTTTGCTCAGGAGGAGGAAGCAGGGGCATCAGAGGTTTGAGTTTAAGGTCAACCCTTACCTACATAGGAACTTGGGGGACTTTCTCAGACCCTGTCTCAAAACAAAAGAAATAGGGCCTAGAGAGAGAGCTCAGAGGCTTGGTTCCCAGCACCCACATTGCCACCCATAATTATCTTTAGCTCCAGTTCAGGGGATCAGGGCTCCCTTTTCTCGACTCCACAGGCACAAGGCATGAACGTGGTGCACATCTACACACATGTACATTCATACGCATGAAGTCAAAATGAACCAAACTCTTTAAAGAACAGAACAGAAGTAGGCAAGAGTGACGTAGGAAGAGAAGGAAGCAAACACAGCGGAGACTGTCATATGAAAATGGAGCTAGTGATGAAGACGAAGTCCTGTTGGGATCTTGGCCCCTCTTTCGCCTGCATCCCTGTCTCTGCACTTCGGACACTCCTCTCCCCCTGGGATAGTGCCCCCTTTAAAATTAAAGTAACTAAGCCGGGCGGTGGTGGCGCACGCCTTTAATCCCAGCACTCGGGAGGCAGAGGCAGGCGGATCTCTGTGAGTTCAAGGCCAGCCTGGTCTACAAAGCAAGTTCCAGTAGAGCCAGGGCTGTTACACAGAGCAACCCTGTCTCAATAATAATAATAATAATA